GCAAAAAAAGTATTCTGCAGGGAAAAAAATACTATTTAAACTCAGTGTATTAAAACAGTCAAATGGATGTATATCTCCCTTTCCAGAAGTAATTTATTTCTAGATATGGGAAGACCATTCGCACCCCCAAAAGTAAATTTTGAGATACCTGTAAGTAAGTTGAAATACAGGTCCTCAAGTTCAGTCTGCACACTAACATAATTATTGGAACACCATGACTTTGAGTGGCAATCTAAAGCTATTAAAAAAATACTAATATTGTCTACAAAGAAGTGCAAGCCCTTGCCTCTTTATGATGTGTAAAACTATGTGAAAGCTCTCAGAGAATTTCACATGGTTGGCATTCTGTATTTTAGTGACATCTGCTTCAAAAGGAAAGGCGTATTAGATCTCTTCTTGCAAAGCTCACTCTCTGCTCCCATGCTGAATATCACTGCCCCCTCATGCGAGGGCTCTCTTGTCAGCTTCCACACACAGTTAGACAGATTAGCTTAAATTGCTGTAAATAACTCCTACTTGCTATACTTGAGCCCTTTATGCCAGGTTGTTCTATATTCTTAAACTGTACCTGAGTCACCTTCATGTGTTATCCATGCTGGTCTGGGAAGCTCAGGGTTTAGTAAACAGGCTAAGCAAATGAAAAGATTAGTCAGTATTGTGCTTCAGAAGGACACAAAATGAGATTACACAGAAAGCAAGCATATTAACAAAATGAAGAAAGAAGGGTTTTCAGAATCTTTGCACTAATCTAAATTATATGTACTGCACATAAAGAAAGCATCCCCAAGTTCTGTGCTTGAATCTTTTTCACCCTGGTATTGAAGACCGTTACAAGTACTACCAGATTATTGGGCAAACTGGGATTACTGGTTGCCATGCAGGCTAGATGACAAGGACATTATGAGTTCCCTGTAATTCAAAGTAAAGAAATTGGAAGGAACAGCGCATAATGGCAACTAGGTAATAATGTTAGTTATGGAAGACAGAATACCACAGCATACTTACATTTACCCCTCAACATGTGCTAATGTGTTTCACTACAGCAAACAGCATGAAATTCAATATACATACTCTTTTCATCACACAAAAGAACCACCAGGGCAAGTTAAAGCAAGAGCAATTAAGAATGAATACAGGCATTTAAGAAAGGCTCAAGATAACATTTCTTCATCCATTCATCCCTTCCCTCAAACATGCTAGTGACACTAGGACATGACGAGTTATCACCAGTTTGAATTCAAAGTTTACCAAAGACAAAAACATTAGGTGGGAAGCAATGGGATCCAAGAAGTATGGCAACAGACAGAAAATCTACAGAGGCTTGGAAGCAATCCAGTCTCTTTTGATTCTTCTCTACATTTCTGTCACAAATCAGTCTAACCCTCATACCTCCATTTTCTACTGGCCATGAGACAGGCCATGACAGTTACAGAATCATAGAATCACAGAGTATTTAAGGTTGGAAAGGACCTTAAGATCGATCATCTAGTTCCAGCCCCACTGCCATGGACAGTGACACCTCACACTAAACCACGTCACCCAAGTCTTTGTCCAACCTGACCTTGAACACTGCCAGGGATGGAGCATTCACAACTTTCTTGGGCAACCCATTCCAGTGCCTCACCACACTAACAGTATTTGCCTGTAAAAGCACTTTATAGACAACTGTAGAAAAACTCTGGACAAGAATGTCTTATGTCCCAAAAATGATTCTTCACATGAGCTGGCTTTACAGTCTTAGTTTCTCCATGGTAAATGGTCCCTCAGCATGAATGCATTCAGGTTCTGACAAGTACCCATCATCTCAGTATTAAGAGGCACTGTTTACCCTCTTGGACCATTAACAAATCAGCATCCTCAGAAATGAGAAGGGGAAGGGAAATGATAGTGTGCGTTCTCCCCTGAAAATTACTTCTGAGTAACGGCAAAAATAACTTGGATGTAAATCTGATCAAGCAGAACAGAAACTGGCCAAGTTTTCAGACTTAAGAACTGCAAACTGACAGAAGATGTCTGGTGCCAGTATCCCCAACAACCCAGCCTTCTAACAGTTTTCTGACGCAGTTCTTCAGCTGTGAGATAAAGCGATTATTACAATACCTCTTTACATATACAGAACCCACACAGCCACACGCAAAGCTGAAGCAGTTTTTCCAATTCAGTGGCATCAAAGGAAACCCCCACAACCTGTGCCGCTGTGCATAGCAGCACGGCACCTACAAGCCCCTTCAATGCCACATGCAGCCCACGCGCATCGTGCGACCGTAACCTAGCAAAGTTTTTGTGGATGTAAAAGGCAAATGATAAGCAGAGAAACAGGCACAGTGCCTTGAACCCACTGTCCTGAGCACCAACTGAAGGCAAGGGGCAAAGTAATTTCATACAGTGGGCCGCATTTTCAGGTCTCAGCATCTAGAAATGTTGAACCTTATAAGAGCTCAGGACTTTGTATTTCCTGATTATGCAATGACATATCTACAGCTCCGTCTTGCTCAAAAATCTAACCTCGGTAACCTCTCTGTGGATTACATCAATACTTCAATAAGGAGAGTTGTTGAAACCCTCTCCCTCCTGTTGAAAAAAGAGGCTTAAAATACTGTTCCAGTTTTTAATAACAATTAAAAGTTAAACAAACTCCAAAACCTAAAGCTCTCCTGGAACCCAAAATAAGTGTTCCTTCACAATAAGTGCCAGTGAAATTCTAGCAGGAATGCCACCAACTTCTGTGGTGTGTGTAACCTTTTGAGCCTCTCGGATAGCTCAAGGCACACTCAGAGACAGTACCCTATACCCTGTAATATATTAGTGTTCACACACATACACTATTTTTTTAATAATAATTTTCTATGGTATGAGGCTGCTTTTCAAAGATGCTTATTACTCTGTTTACTGTGGACTACTTGGGAAACAGCAGATCCTCATCATCTCTGAAAACTAGGCCATAGATGGCTTGAGAGCTGAACTGACATTCACCAAGATGACATCTTCTGAACAGCTACAAAAGTCTAAGTCCTCCAAAACCAAACAGCAGATTAGGGAAAGGACAGCTCCCAAAGTTAAAATGTGTGGTACTCTGACTACACAAAAACATTAAAAGAAAAAGAAAATCCTTAAAATCTGCCTAATTTTAATGTATTAGTACTAATATTTTACAATGCAGCCTATTTTCCTAACAGAGGTATGTCTTGATGAGGTGAAAGATCTGCTCTGTGGTTGTGAAGGGTTGTGAAGAAAATAGCCATGATACAGTGATAAAGAACCCACCATCTCAGCACCAGCATATATTGGTCCCACTGCAGAGGTGGTTGTTTTCTGGGGAGGAGCACCCAGAGCCCCACCAAGAGAAGGTGGAAGGCAGGTCCTTGAGAACAGCTGCTCCTGGGAAGGATGAGAAGGTGCCACGGGTGACCATGAGCAGGAAGAGGCCTGAGTGGGGGCTAAAATGGTGAAATGCAACACTTGCAGAGAAGGAGTGAAGAAGAAAATCTGGCAAGCTAGGAGAGACACCACCAGCATTCTGCACAGGTGATGTCTGTTCACTCCTCTGCAGCCTCCCTTGTTTGGATTACAGGATATTGCTGTCATGCTCATGGAAAACAGCTGGTGAAATGGGGCCCTGGCTGCAGGCTCACATGCTGGGGACTTCCTCTGCTTTTTTCCTCTCAAGTTATGGTGGCAGGGGGGAAACATGTAGGTTTAGGCAGCTTTGGAGAGCTTTGAAAAGCTGTTTGGAAGGCTTTGACATGGAGGGTGTAAGGAAAGGAACTAATCCACATGTTCAGTAATGACATAGAATCAGAATGGTTTGGGTTGGTAGGGACCTTTAAGCTCATCCAGTTCAAACCCCTCTGCCATGGGCAGGGACACCTTCCACTAGACCAGGCTGCTCAAAGCCTCATCCAGCCCGGCCTGAACACCGTCAGGGATGGGGCTGCCACAGCTTCTCTAGGTAAAATACTTAAGCTTTAATCACATTATTAATTTCTTTATTAAGCCATTAGGGGAATTTGACTTATGTTTATTTATTACCAAAGTTATAGTTGAGCACCCCCGTGAACCCAGAGAACAACTTTATTTCCCCCTTTGTGAGACCGGTCGGCGGCAGCGGGGAAAGGAAGAAACAAGGAAGGAAGGAAGGAAGGAAGGAGCCCTGAGGGGCCGGGCTGGGCCGGGCCTTACAGCCGCCCGCGGCGAAAGCGGAGGCCGCTCCCGGCGCCGGGAACACCGGCTGGCGAAAGGCCGCCGCGCTGGGAGCGCCCCGCGGCCCGGCCCGGCCCGGTCCCGCCCCCGCCGGGGATGGCTTTTTCTGGAAACATGACAGCCGGCCTCGGGGAGCCGCGGCGGGGGGAGCCCGGCAGGACGCGAAGGCGCGACGAGGCGACGGTTGTTAAGGGAGTGCAAACAGCGCGATCAACAGAGGGGCTGGTGCGCGGGGAGGTGCGATGCCCCGGGTTTTTATAGCCACCTCATGATGTCAGCGAGCCGCGCTGGCCGCCGCGCACGGAAATAGCTGGGCCCTGCAAACGCGCGGACATAAATCCGTTGGCAGGCCTACAGCGAACGGTTATTTTTAACGGGCTGAGCAAGATAAAACTTGGCTCGGGGGGGAAGGGAGGGGTAAGAGAGTAGCTGATTTACAGCCGCTCTAAGGTCAATTTGCTTTGCTACAGAAGGGTAAAAGCATTTCAGTGAGCACGGGAACGTTCTGAATTAGGGAGCTACCCGTGTGCCTCTCCAGCACTGCCCTTGCCGGCCTTCTGCAGGCAGCGGGTGCAGCTTCTGAGGAGCAAGAGGGCAGGTTGTATGGGGCTTTGAGCAATCTGGTCTAGTGTGAGGTGTCCCTGCCCATGGCAGGGGGGGTTGGAACTAGATGAGCTTAAGATCCTTTCCAACCCTAACTATTCTATGATTCTGTGTATTCCAACACGCAGAGCAGGGATCTGGTTTCCCACCCATGCCACAAAACAGCCCTGCCATCTCTTCAGTCAGTGCGTTTTGCCCCACGGGCCATACTCCCTCCAGGAGCAGCTGGCCCTATGTGTCAGGCACAGCTCAGCAGCCCTCCTGCGAGAGGGGGTGGTAGGCAGCTTGGGCCACAAAACCAGCTTTGGGCTTGACAGCCTCGCTCCTTTAATTCAGCGCGGCATGCACTCCAAAAGCTGTTTTGCCTGTTTAAATGGGGTCTTCTGGCCAAAACCTCTGTACCTGGACAGTGAGGATTTCTGGGACAGCCCATCTTGCTTAAGCTCACACTGCCACACCATGCCTTAGAAAACAAGGTGTGGAATCCCCTCATTGTGAAAATTAATGTGAACTACAGCAGAAACCTCGACAATCAAACTTCTGTTGTGACAAAGCAACAATAATCTACACTGCTGTGCCAAGGCCCTGATTCATGTTATATGTGTTCCTTTACCAAGTTTTAAGAAGAGCAAAAGATTGGGTACCTTTAAAAAAATAACAGTATTTCAGTGCAAATATAAACTTATCATAAGCTTCCTGAAGTACACACAGAATAAAGGCAGTATCACTGCAGAGAAGGTATCTGCTTTCAAGGGGGTTTGCATTCTCATTGAATGCTGGACTGGGTCCAGACCAGCCAGAGTATAACCACCCTCTAACCTCCCTGCAGAGACTTACAGAGATGAGACTGAAGCAGTATGATTTCTGACAGAAATCAAATCCTGGCTACTGCACTGCTGGGAACACTACAGACAAGGAAAAAAAAAAGAAAGAGGAATTGGAAGTGAAACAATTCTGTGGAGCTCATTTAGATAATACCTTGTCAAAGGACCAGATACAGGACACATGATACCTTTTACTAAATGCTTGCAGAAGTTAAGTGTCTGCTAGCATAAAATTTAGTATTAAAAAATGGGATGTACAAACGTTAAAGCTGAGCAGTTATAAAACAGCTCAGTTACATGCCCAGGTTAACCAAGCTAAACAGTATGCCTAGTCAAATCGCACATAAAACCATGGAGACTATTTGAAAAATACAATTTGTTCAAATTTCCATCAGTTTGTATTTCAGCATTTGCATCTCAGGGGACTCATAGGGGAATAACTCCTAGATAATATGCTTCCAAAGATTCAAAACCAAGTGACCTTAATGGAAGCTTATCAGTATTAGGATGTTGCATTATGGGTGCTGGGTACATATTCAGTACTTTCTTCTTGATGTAATGCACCCAGGGACATATATAGGAAAATCCCAGGACAGACTGATGAACAGCTTCTAGATATTCCCTATCTTGCAATAATCATTCTGCTGTAGTGGTACAAACCTTTGAGCAGTCACACAGCAAACTGGATCAGAAGAATGGTAAGCAATTTTTGAGCGCAGGCAAATCACAGGAGGCAGCACAGGAATGGGAGCAAAGAGACTGCATCAGGCAGCAACTGCTCAGTTTTGACAATACGGCCAGTAAATGAATAATCTTCACATATTTTGTTTTCATGGCCAGTGAGCTCTAAGATTGTCCCCAAAGTAGCAGCATCTGAATTGTGCTGGGCTTACAGAGACCCCTTAGCCATGGCTAGACTGTTGGTGAAAATATGTCTAGACTACAAGAAGATGTAATGTTTTAAAATGTACGAGTTGGCACATTTTAGCTGTAATACTGTCAACCCAAATTACGGGTATGCCAAACCCAAATGACAGTCAGATATAAAAATCACAACATTACAACAGATGAAATTACTGCATTTAGCTCTGGAGCCCCCAAAACAAGAATGATGTGAACCTGTTGGAGCGAGTCCAGAGGAGGGTCATGAGGATGACCCAAGGGCTGGAGCACCTCTCCTGTGAAGACAGGCTGAGAGAGCTGGGGTTGTTCAGCCTGGAGAAGAGAAGGCTGTGGGGAGACCTTAGAGCAGCTTCCAGTGCCGAAAGGGGGGTGACAAGAATGCTGGAGAGGCGCTTTTTACAAGAGCATGTAGGAGTAGGACAAGGTGGAATGGCATTAAACTCAGGGTAGATTTAGATTAAATATTAGGAAAAAAATTATTTACCATGAGGGTGGTGAGACACTGGAGCAGGTTGCTCAGCTAATTTCTGACTGCCCCCATCCCTGTGTTCAAGGCCAGGTTGGACGGGGCTTTGAGCAGCTTTGTCTAGTGGAAGGTGTCACTGCCCATGGCAGGGGAGTTGGAACTGGATGATCTTTAAGGTCCCTTCAACCAAAACCATTCTATGATCCTATAAATTTATTTTTCAATTTATACCTTAATTTGTACTTCTTTAAGTCACGGTTTAGAATACTTTCCACTAGAATCTTGTTTTTGCTGTTTTGTAGCATTTGTAACATAAATATTAAGATTGGTCTGAAGAGTGTATGAACAGAAATGTCTGTCAGTAAAAGCACCAGGAAAGACAACAGAGCAAAGTTGCAGGGAAAAAAAACAAACCACCAAACCCAAACCATTTTGATAACCATGGATGCAATTGACAGCAATCAAATGGTTACACACCAAGGAATGTGGTGTTTGCAGCAGGACCAGGAAGCCTATGCCCTAGGAAGCCCTCAGTTGCATTAGCAGGCCTGTGCCCTGACAGACAGAAGATACCAGCAAGGTTGCACCACGCTATACGTGCTGTTCCTCCCTCTTCCTGTTCTGCAAACAGGGAAGCTGACTCTAGCCATAAAGACACCCACAGCAGGCAAACCCAGGAAACAGACAGCAAACTAAGATTCACCTAGGCTGAGGTAAGCACGATTCAGAAATGAAAGGACACACCACAGTAATATGCTTTGACTGCCAAAGGACAGAGAAGACCCACCCCAAAACCAGAGCGTCACAGACGCAGAAGTCAAGAGACGTGGTGCGAACTTGGTGGGTGATGTCCCTTGTCCCTCAGGGACAAAACTGATCCTGGCCAGATCACTTTTTGGGCATGCATCTCTGAGGTTAAAAGCATGAGGGTTGTGAGAACAGGCATGAAACTGGTAAGTCAACAAGTGTGGGATGAATCAGTTTTGTTTAAAACAGGTATGGGCTTCTCTTTCCTTAACATCTCACTGAGGCATTTTTTGCATTTCTTTCCTTGTCACCATGTGTAGTGATTAAAGCTGAGGTTCTCAAATAATCACTATCATCTCAGGGTTGAAACTTGCAGAAAACTGTGGAATATGCAAGCAAATCATAAGAACTAGAAGGTAATTCTGCAAATAAAACATTTTAACACACTAGCACATAAAAAAGGGCATGCCAGTGATGGAGAACACCACTACTGTTTATTTTACCTAGTTAATGATTTTTAAAATACAGTTTGTTCTACAGGAGTGTTTTAAGAGTGTTTTAAAAAAAAACACCACTTTCTTCCCAATTTTTAAATGCCCTCCTGGTCCTCCAGAAGAATCTCCATCAGCAGTACAAGTTAGACTTAGGTCTGAATGTATTTTAATATTTGCATAGAGACAAACTTTGCTGGAGAGGGGAAGGAATATATAGTAACAGTATCCTGGCTCTAAAAATTGGACTGATTTACCGGGGGGACACACTACTTAAAACATCTACAGACCTGTCAAGTGTTAGTGCTTTGCCATCACATGTCTGTGTGGGTTCTTTCTCTGCCACTACATCCACTCAAATCTAGGCATGTTTGCCTAGGGAAGGCAACTCTTCATCTGATACAGAATTCAGGAGGTAATGCAGTTTACTATTTGAGCCAAATATTAGGAAAGGGAAGCAAAGGAAAAACAGAAAAGGTCAGTCTTGTAGGAGAGACAACCTAAAGCTATTCTAGATGTGCAATTTCCTCCCAGAAATAAAGCAAATAATTACCTGAAAATAAATTGACTTTTATGCTGAAATGAACTGCTCTTGCAGATTTCTGGGGGTGAGTGTCACAGCAATCTAGCTACAGCTGGGTAACCGCTCTGCTAACTCTGTACTGGTTATGCTCCCAGTACAGACTGGCTCTAAGATTTGCTCTATTGTTTCTAAGTAAGATTCTTACCTAAATAGGCATGATTCTTACCTAAATAGTTTACACTAGCAATACATGTGCCTGCAATACAGACACATCTACAGAAGTTTCTCTGTGATGCTGCTATAGCTATTCCCACATGGGAATACTCTGATACTGGACATAGGATATCAGTTCTGAGACTGAACTACTTCACATTGTTTTCAAAAAAATTTGTTGCTGCAGTGCTGCAGAGTGCCTGCCACTGAATGCTGGCTGCTCTTCCAACACCAGTTGCTGTTTTCTGGGATTTATGACTGAAAGGATTAAAACCAAAGGAAACTAAAATAGATCTCCAAAGGGTATTAATAGCTCCTTCAAGATTTGTCACATTCTAGATTTTATTATTACAGAAAAATATTCTTAAGGTAATAGATACAGTTTCCTCAATTTAAATGTCGAGGGTTTGGGGCTTTTTTTTCCTTCCAAAAAGTAAATTTTAATTCATTATACAGATATCCAGTATCCCAAACACAACCATCTGTGCAAATGATAATTGGGTGATCATTTGCCCCATTTGCACGTGTATTTAAAGAGCAGCTGAAAATTTGGGCCCTTGTAAATATATGTGCATGCCACTGTTTTGCAAACATAGGGCTAATGCCCTGGAAACATTCAAATGCCCAATGGCATCAGTGGGATTTGGGGGCTGTCAGCATTTGGCAGAACCAAACCCTTCTTACACGTATCTATAAACACACTGGCATACATAGAGAGGTTTTGAATAAAATGCAGATGGTGGACAACAATTTCGCATTTATCTGGACATTCTGGGAGATGACATTCTTGACTATAGTTTTAACATTATAAATTAAGGTTTGGTAGTTCATTTAAACATAGTTCATTTCTTTTCTAAAGATTCTGGTTCTCAGCAAATGAAGAAAACACATTCCCAGCCAGCACGCCAATCACAGTATCAACTCTCTCACACTTGCAGATAAACCTTTAAGGAAGCTTTACTTACTTATATCAAGCCACAAAAACATCAAGAAGCATATTAATTGTGATAATAAAAAATAAAGCCTTCAGTCATGTGTTCCATTAAATCACTTACACCCTATATTTTTAAAATGTACAAAATCCATTTGCAGTTTGCCAGGGAATTATTTTAAGGTCCTGGTGTCCCTTAGAATCTCTTCTCACGTCTTCAGATGTCTGCCTTTCACTTGCGTGGACTGAAATGTCTAGACATCCAAATTAAGGAGTGACCAATCACGGACAAACTGATCTCTCTGCATACAAGGTCAGCGCTGCAGAGGCACACACATACGTGAGCGCACACACACACACATATACTGGCAGCAGGCACTGTGCTGGAGACCTTTATTTGTGCACAGAAATATTGATGTTGCTAAGTGATAGGCAGGCGGTCACTAGCCCTAAGTCTTTGTGTTTGTTTATTACTGTCTTCTTTCCCCAATAAACAATGCAACGGTGATGCAGAGATAGAAAAGCCTGTCTAAATTAAAACAGCTATGGAACCTAATTTATTATGTCTGTATGATATCAACCCACTACTCCTTTCCCTGATTTTGTTCTGTTAAGTCAGAAGGAAAAAATCTAGGAGGAACTTGAAAACCCACATGTCTTAATGGTCCCAATCATCTTACTTTCCTTCAGTTAAATAATAGAACTAGGTTATTGGCAAAGGTCTGTCTGCATCTTAAGCTTGCTGGCACCAGATTTAAGGAAATTTTTTGAAGTTAAAATAATAGTCCTGTATGAAATTCATATGTCTAGTCAATCAGAATACGGGGCAACCTGAAAATAGTATCTCATGACACTACACAGTAAGTGTGGATACACGTTCCTTATCTAAAAATTCAGTCCAGTTACCTTCAGTTCTAGAATCCAAGTTGCTATTTTAAAAAATTTTCTAAGAAATCCCCTCCCCAAACAAAAACACACACCCCAACCCCCTTTTCTTCAGTCATCCCTGTTTTTAAAACCTGTACCTTTAGTGATAAAGAGGGTAGATTTTGATTAGATTGCAGGATTAAATTCTTTTAGTATGAGGGTGGTGAGACACTGGCACAGCATGCTAGAGAAGTTGTGGCTGCCCCATCCCTGGCAGTGTTCAAGGCCAGGCTGGATGGGGCTTTGAGCAACCTGCCCATGGCAGGGAGCTTGGAACTAGATGAACTTAACCCAAACCATTCTATGATTCTATGATATTAGGAGCAGGTTTCTGGAAACACAAGTTTTCATGACAGGGGTCCTGTTTGCAGTTTTCAGTATAAATTGGCTTGCTTGACTCCAGGGAAGACAGAGCATGGGGAAGCTGGGTTTCCATCATCACCTCCCCTGGCTAGCCTTCGAGGCTTCTGCAGAGCCCTGGAAGTGCTGCAGACCCCCAAGCTTGTAAGCCCTCCTGCTCTGATACAGCCCCCCATGTGAGGTGCCCAGGTAAGATCTCAGCCCCACAAACACAGGTCCCCAGAGGTTACCGTGCTGTCTGCAAGCATGCTGGGAGGAAATCACAGCCCAGTCTACTCCTGGAAGCTTCCAGATTTCCAGAAATTATATGGCCAACATGGCAGGCCATCATATTGCAAATCCTTTTTTCAACAGAAAAATATTACTTAGAGCTTTGCCATGTCATAACAGAGGCATCACTGGAGCGAGGACACTCTTGCCTTCACCTGTATGTACTGCTGCTGACGTAGAATTTACACAGAACATGTTATTAGGAAAATAGCGAGGGTATTTTGACTTTGATTTTATTTTAGCAGCGAGATACAAAGATGACTACCAATGTCAACTGGCTGTGGGAAGCACAGCTGGAGGAACATTTCAGAACATTTTGGACCCTACTGGAATAGCAAAAGCCTGCCCAGCAATATAAAGATGAAAATGACCTGGGAACTAACGTAAAACAGTAATTCAGGTAACTTGTTTTTCCTCTAGGTTACTGTAAGTCCTGTAATAAATCACAAGACAGACATAAACTTCTGGTTTTAATTGTCATGTACATACAAGTTCTTCCTAAATTCTGTTTCTCCCACTGAAACAGCAGTGAGTTGACTACATACTGGAAGTCTTACACATAAGCAGACCCAAAGCAGCGCTGCTACAAACCATTTTCTGTTCGGTCGGCTGAATCAGATATGGCAATGATCATTCCAGCAGGAAGCTGAAGGGACAGGACAGCTCAGTCCTTTCCTCCCTACATCAGTAATTTGCTGGATGAGTCACTGGCTCTCTCTGTCTTAGTCTGTCCATATGCACAATGTTAATAGTAACAATGCCTTCCAAGCAAAAAGCGTTGCTTTAAATTCCAGAGATCAAAGACCAGCAATATTCCTGTTCTGGACAAAAGCAATACTTTGTCTTAGTCTCAAGCTGCTTGCACAGCCAGTGCTGGGAGCAGACCATTCCTGCAGTAATCATGAAGTAAGTGTATTAACACTTATGCACTGAATCAATACTTTCCATTAAAGCATTATTTCTGCAGATGTACTCTGGACAAATACTTCAGTTATTGAGTGGGGAAAGAAGAAGGAAAGAGAGGACATAAAGAAACCACGTTTTTCTCAGAAAAGCTGTATGTTAATTAAAAATATTCTTTTCCAACAGACCTCTATTTGTAGGAGGAATGAGATACTGCAGACAACAGGCTTTAGCAGCAATGGCTCTACTTTGAAGGACCTGACTTGCCTTCAACTATGTGTCCTCTCAGGCAATCAACACACCCTATGAAGAACACACACCTTAATCACACTTGAACTTATTTTACTTCTTCCTCTTTTCTCAAAAAGCATTTTACATCTCACAAAAAATTCTAATTGTCCTACCGAAAGTTCACGCTTCTGATTTTGCCTATCTAGAGAAGAGTGCTTATTCACAAACAAACCTTGAAGGATGGAAAAATGACAAGGAAGATAGCATCAAGCCAGACAAGTATGACTGGAAACTCAGATGTAAAGAATTCAAGTATTTCAGAAGGTTTCTTGATAGGTATATTCCAACCTCATTCCAAGCAAATAAGATTAGCACGTATTACTGAGAATTTTATGCCTCAGTAGAAGGCCCTAATTATATTTCACACTGCTCTGAAGATTCCTGTAATATACACACACCTTTTATGTGGAATTTTATACCCTATTTATAGCATATAGGTTCTTTTTGATATTATTACTTTTCTATGAAAGTTTCTTTGAAGTCAGGTAATTACCTTAAGCGAAATATATAGCCTGTTGTGAGAATTGAACTATGAGATTTGTGTTGAACACGTCAGCCATCATGTAGCCCAGTATAAAGGCTTCTAAGCCACAAGTGGGGATGGAAACATTAATTACAAAGACAAAGCCAATAATGCATTTTAAAAGGCAATTTAAAGTGAGGGCTGATAAAACTGTATAGTACTACATCTTGCTTCATGCATGCCCCTAAAACCTATTTGCGCTAATGTCGTGGTTTAAACCCAGTCAGGTAACTTGTTCACTCACTCCCAGTGAGTGGTGCCGAGCTGACAACAATCAAGGTCCGTGTTCGTCTCCCCCCCCCCTCCCTGCACCGGGGCTCTCCCCTTCCCCGCTCCCGGAGGAACGGGGAGGAGGATCGAGAGAGTGCAACTCCTACGGGTTGAGACAAGAACAGTCCAGCAACAAATCACCACTGCTACTATCAGCTAAAACAATGATAAGGGAAAATAACAAGGGAAGAGAATACGATACCACCGGCCAAGAAAACGAGTTCCACCCGGAAGCTCCTGTCCTTCCGGGTAACTCCCAGTTACCCCCCACCCCGGGCATGACGTGCTGTGGTATGGAATACCTCCCCGGCTAGCCCGGGTCAGGCGCCCCGTCTCTGCCTCCTCACAGCTTCCCCTCCTCCCTGGCAGAGCATGAGCCTCACAGAGTCCTTGGTCAGGGTAAACATCACTTAGCAACAACCGAAAACATCGGCTTCACCAACGCTGCTCTCAAACTAGAAGTCAAAACACAGCACTGCACCAGTTAACACAAAGGAAAAAACATGACTGCTACTGCTGAACCCAGGACAGCTAAGCACTAAGGAGTGTAAAAATTATTTCATTACTAGTTACTATCCTTAGCAAAGCCACAGGTTAGCACAGACTTGTCTAGAGCCAGGCTGAACCTGTGAAGAGGTCAGGAGGAGTTACTAAAACAACCAGTAACAATCCCCAGTAATTTCTCCCCAGCCAGAAATGGTGCGTCATTAAAGATTTCTACATTTCGATTCTTCCCATGCTAGAAGAAAACGTGTCTCTTTCTCTGCAAAGAAAAATCTTTAGTGGAATAAATGACACATGGCTACCATATATCAATCTAGAAAATTATGCCACTTTTATACAGCATTCTGATCTAGGACTGAACCACCACCATTTTATGTCTGACGCGTTTTCAAGTCACTTGCAGTGAGAAGTCACCCTCTTCACCTCTTCAGGCACAGTTCCTTGAAAATACCTAAAAGTACAAGATTTTAAAACACCATGCCATATGAAGCCACAATTTGTCATGCAAATGTTATCCCTCATATACAATGCATAATATACACATGAAACCAAAACCTCAAGATGTAACGCACGTGCACACACACACACACACAAAAGGCAAGTCAGCCAATACAGGATCACAAACACAACTTATTATCATTTTTTACTGATGGAGCAAATTGATCTAGGTTACTGCATTGAGACAGGTTTCCCCAACTGTCTGCACTTCAGTAATCTGAGACTTGAAACTGCTGGTTTTATCATACTTTTTGCCTAAGCAAAAGTGTAGCTTCTTATTAAGCATGCTTAATAAAACCAACAGACATTAAAAACAGTCAGCAGGGAGTGTTGCAATTAGATGCTTGCACAGTGCTTCCCTCTGTGCTACATGCAAATATTTTTCATCTTACACAGACTTTCAGAAACTTCATCATGTTGCTGCAGTAAGAGAAACCTGCTCCCTTTTTCCTCATGTGAGATGTTAGGCCATCAATTGCATATCACAATTACTTTACAGAATAAAACAAAATTACTTGTAAATTTCTAAGTTCCCCGCCGCGGTGTGGGACCTCTGAAGAAACCGATACAGCAGTTTCATCCCCCAAATACTACAGGTGAAGGAGAGACTAGGACTAAAAGGGCAGATGAGATATGGGTCAATAAGGAAGCAAAAAGCTGAAAGAACCACATCTCAGATGACTGAAGTATCTACATTAAATATATGAAATATTTTCCTTCACTGAATATAGAAATGCTGTTGAACTTGTTCTGTTTTTTGGGGAGAGGGGAAATGTTTGGACTAATAAGGGCAATCACAGGGAAGAGAAGCTTACAACTTATCTCTATTGAGTTAGTCAGATGCAAAATTCACTCTGATTGCTGTGGGATTCTCTGTGTAACAGCCAGAATCTACAGTGCTGCACGCTCTCAGCGTAATTCCTTCCATCTGAGTGAACGACGCTCAGCGGTTTATAGGAGGCGCTCTTCCATCTTGTAAAACTGGCTATGCTTAACTTTGTAACAATGTCTGCAATTCTCTTTCTTCAGAAAAGAGAAAAATTCTTCTTCCCAGAATAACCTACAGAAGGGACTGCAGTGTATATACATGAAAGAAACCAAACCAGCAGGAGGAACCTTTAGGAGGGAATAGGAGGAATAATAGGAAGGCTCTGAATCGCTGGTTCACAGAAGGGTTAAGGGTGGAAGGGACCTCAGGGGTCATCTTGTCCAAACCCCCTGCTCAAGCAGGGCCACCCAGAGCCAGTTGCTCAGGACTCTGGCTGGCTCCTTCCAGACTTGCTCTGCCAAGTGAGAGGCTCTGTTCAAGGCAAGTAATTGCAGCTGTCTCACCTCACCCCATGGATGCTACAGGACATAATCCTTTTCTAAACCAATTCTATAGCCTATCTGTTATGAAACCTTCAACCTTTCTGTAAAGGCTTCCAGTGAGAGCCTGGTAGCATTTGACATGAGCTTTTCTGATACCACTGTCTGACAAAAGAGGCTTCCACTTTGTCAGAGCTTTGTTCCCACTGCCATATCCTCGCCTGCAGCATAGAAAAATGTCTCTACCAGAAGCCAGTATGCAAACAAACAAATCTTGCAAAAATATTCAGTGTGAAGGAAAGCCACACCCGTCATATAGGTCTGTCCAAGTCTGTCTTTTCACCATATTTACATTCTGATGTTCCAGGTTTGTTGGTTTATTAATTGCAAATTTGTCTGTGTGAGTCTCTTGCACATTTGTTATGGGCTTTATAAAAGATATTCTCTGCAAACGCCTTGAGGTCACACTTGAAACCATGGTGTGAACTATGCCAGACATAGAGTTTGTGAAAGAGCTTCTTCCAGGACCATTCGTGATGTCTGCCTCTCTGTGCAGAGGAATTCAGAAACGAGGTGCAACTACAGCAGGCCTTTCCTGCTGCTCAGCAGCTGCCACGTCTCCTCTTGGTCATGGCTGATTCCCACAAGATGGCACAGCACAACTTAATCTGGGCTTAATCTGAGATTTAAATGATGACTCCTTGACTGACGCAACAGTCTGCCAGCACACTGCCTCACTTCACATCTCTCACGATCCACTTCTCTCACGCATCGTCTTTGCAATTTTCCCCTAAATCAAAACACTGCCCATCACTCCCTGCTGACAGCAGAGCACTGTTTCTTTATAGCCCTTCTGCAAAATAAAGTTGCAATAACTTGAGAATAAAGGTAGCTTTAGGTTGTGCGAACTACCTGAAACACCAGTCAGGCAGTGGAACATTGACATGGGAAGGAGTTGAAAATAAATGAAAAATGAGACATAAATGAAGAGCAGGTGGTTTCAGATTTTTCAGCTCTCATAGTTGTCAGTGCTACTAGTGTTTTGATTTAAATCAGTCTTAAAGCAGACTCTGCCTAAATCTTTAGAAAGAAATTTAAACTGAAATGGAAAATGGACATTGGTTCAATCAGTACAACCTCTCAGTTACACACAGGATCTCCATTATCAAGTTGGAAAAAGAAGAATAAAAATGACATTTCTGGTAGCCACGCAGGAAGCTGGAGAGAAAAATGACAACAAAAAAATGCTGTGTAAAGGTTTCCCCTTCTTTTCAGTATATGGTTTCTACCATTTTGTCTGCCCAAGCTGGTATTTCAGCTCCCTATCCAAGAGCATTCTGTGCAGAAGTTCCTACACTGCCTGATGTGTCTCTGCCTATCTGTGGTCAGGGAGAAAACAGTTGAGTTGAGCAGCAAAGTGACAAGAGAGGCAGCAGCCTCCGGCAGCCATGGGAACAACAATTTCTAGAGACTTGAGGCTGAAATTTCAGAGGGAAATCATCCCAACTGCTGTAGGCAGGCCACAGAGGGGCCCCCAATGGCACTGGCTTTGAGTTTTAAGGCAAAATGTTACTGTAGACGTGCATGGACCTGACTTCACCATCCGCTAAAGAGCCATAATAATGACAGCCACATACCTGCAAGAGGTTACAAAGCAAAGCAGGAATTTTGCCTGCACAAAATGTAAACATCAAAACAGATGGCACAGTTATGTTAATCGGTTAATGTTTGCAGAGTGCTTTGAAGATGCAAAGCACTATAAAGGTACTAAATACTTACAGTCTTGTCTAGACATCATCAAGCTAATTTTTAGACTGCAACCTTTTCAGGCCAAACAGTACTTCTCTGTGTATGTTTGCACTGTGCCTTGTGTAACGGGATCCAATCTCAGGATGTATTCCTAAAGGAGGAGTAAGAAAGGAGCAGCTCCTGGAGGTGAAAAGCACAAGCCAACAGCTCCTGCTAAAGGAGTATGAAGTAGCACAGCAGAGAATCAGGCTAAATATTATCAGGGGATGAGATAGAAGTGAAAATGTACTCTACTAGAATCAAAATAAATACATCACTTTTGTGTAGTGCAATACATAAAATACGCATTCAAATACAAAGACGATTTTTCCGACTTTTCACCAGAGAAACAGGTAGATTGAGGCTGTCACAACAAATAACCCTTTACAAAAGAGTTTGCCGTAGCGGTGAAAACTCTTTACTGCACTAACAAGAGAGAATGAGAAAACATCTTTGGCAGAATAAACTATGTATGTAGACTTAACAGAGCTGTGAGGAGTGCACTGTCAATGACTGTCACACAAAGTCCAAGTATGCAATTGAACAAAGCAAATTATAAACAAAGAGATCACAGATTTTGTTGAGGTTTGGGAAAAATCCTTCTAAATCATTTCAAAACTCACACTTCTTATTTGCTCTAAGGAATGTGGCATACAAAGAAAATTAAATTCCAGAGACATATTCTGCAATAAGTGAGCTTTCTGTGTCAGACTGCCTCAAACCTAAACCAAACATTACTATTCTGATGTTAAGAAACCACAGATTTCAGAAACCTTTTCCACTCATGTTTCCCAGTCAGCTCAGACTGTAAATGGGGAAACAAGTCTGGTGTTACACAAAAGGTGTGGACAGCTGAAACACGTAATCCTTAATCATACACTAAAAATAGACCCAAACTGACCACCCAGTGCATAATAAGTGCTACTGAGCATGGAATCAGAGAGATCTCAGCTCAGCCGCTAGCTCCTGGCTAGGAGTAGTGTGGAGCTGGCGTGTGGAGGCCTGAAGGCAGAGCAGCTCCCAGTCCCTCTGAAACAGTCCCTCCGAAACAGTCCCTCCAACCCACTTCAAAGCAGCACCAACCATAGGGGCCACAGGGGCATGGTCTCCTTTCCCCCTCCCTTTCCCTTGAGCTCAGCTTTAATCAGGGGGCTCACAGTCAATATAGAAAAAACTGAAGGAAAAAAGGGGTGTTTGGTGTTTAGAACATTGATCTTTCACCCTAAACCACCATTTTCTTTTTCAGATCAGAAATGTACATTGTGAAATGTGGTGGTGAAGATGGTTTTAGGACCATTTGTACTTCCAGAGCATCCCCCAAAACCTGGGGGATTCCTACTCTTCCAGGGGAGCATGCAAAAGGTCTGCTACTACTACTCACTATTCTCGTGAACAGCTGTATGACAAAGGTCCTATGCTGCAGATTCACTTGAATAATGACAGGTAAGGTTATCTTCTTGCTTTTGAGGTTTTGTTTTACTTATTTTCCAGCCTCTTCACTTCAGCAGTTAAACGTTAATTTCTAAGCAAAAGCAAAGCCTTAATATCATTACAGCTCTTATTTCTCGATTTGTTCTCAAATAGTTTCTGTCACTGTACAAGAAAGAAGACTTCAATTGGAAAAGGATTAAAATAATAATAAAAAGTGGTCCATTTTACTGGCACATTAAAGAGCAACGCCAACACTATACTAACTTTATTCTTCCAGGGAAAGTGTTGCCTTTCCCTCTCTGTTTCAAAAAGCATGTATAAATAATAAGCCCAATTTTCAGTCTCAACTGGGTTACCCTTTTCCTTGCTTGTAATTTTGCATATGCTCGCATAATTACGGACTGAAATTTGCAAATACAATTACTTGCTGACACACATTGTTATTTGAATGATAAAGTATTTGATTGTATCCAATGAAAACAAGATGCGGAAGCAAATGTGTTTTAGCAAACCTAATGTACTAACTTAAGCTTCTGTTGTTTTATGGAAATATGATCCCCTAACAGTATGTCTACACCCTGTAGTGAAGTATTGTCTAGAGACCTTACATTAAAAGCAAGATAGCTGTCTTGCTGCATTATCACATTTACACTTGCCTGGTAAGAAATACAGCTACATAGGAACAATTACTTTCTACTTTTTAAACAGGAAAGTTTGCTTTCATAAAAATCGTCAAATTAACAATGGCATATTAACGGAGTCACAAAATAACTACCAAAAAGATGCTGCTAAATTAAACTAATTCAGAATTCATATTGCATTTTGATGGCAGTTCATGACATGTAGTAAAACCACCTGGTTTCTCTCCCAAAGAGAGAAAAAGGGTTAAATCAGAACTCACGAAAAGAAGAGCAGCTGTCAAGACTGCAGTTTAGCAAAACTAAGAGGCATTTGAGTTCACTTAGATTTGCCAGTGACTTTTGAAGCTACATTTAATTCTGGTTATTTCAAAGTTAGCAAACCTTTTATTAACAAAATTCCATAGGAAATCCTTAAAACTGCACATGGGGGGCTGTCTGTGGCATGGTCCTCTCTCACTGCAGTCTTGCAGAGTTCTTGCTGGATTTCCTAGGGCTCACCATAAATACAAACAACTGACCAGAAAATCCAGATGAGGTTCAACTGTATTTCAAGAACAGCTATGACCTAATACTTTCTTGATACAGAGGCACAGACGTGAAGCTAGGGAGATTATACTAAGAACTCAGTTAGTATCTTTCAGAAGAGAATGCAGAGTATGGCTAAGCAGCTCACTAATTACATTTAAAGATATTACTCAGGAAATCTAAGGATAGGAAAGAAGTTACCGATATACTTAAAGGCATTATCAATAAGATCAGGAAGACAAAAGAAAAGCTTTTTGTTACTAAAATTTTTGTCTATATTTGAATATACCGTTGTCAATGGAAAAGAAATCCAGAGCCTGGAGTCATTCTGGATTCCAAGTCTGGAAGCTGGCACTGAATAAAAACACAGCCAAAGACACCGAGAGATATTTAACAAATGAATATTATACAGAATCAATCAACATAACATGAGTTACCACTTCAAACTATTCAGAAATGATGGCAGTGTTCATATAAGGAGAGCTTAAAAGATTCCTACATCTTTTTTCTCTAATTTTATCTAGTTTCAAAGCTTTCAGAAATCATGTACTTAATCTTTTCTTTGCAACTGAGAGAGCTGTAAGTTAAACTTTTTTACAGTAAGACCAAAATTCTTACGTATTTCCATAATCCGTAGTCTTGGAAGGCAGGTTTTAAAGAAAATGCGAATCAGTGCATGACTACAGAGGAAGACTGCAAGAGTTGGTAACTCTAAGCCAGCAGTGACAATGCACCATAAATTGGATATTAACTTCAGGAAGAATCAAACAGCAAAATTCCAGTGTAGTCTTGAATAGTGTCATCTTCAAATTATAATCCAGGATGTCCGCACCATGTTGGCCAAACTACAGATTAAAGCATTGTACAAGTATAAAGTCTGAGGACAGGTAGCCACTGAGAGCAGCTCAGTATTTACTGCTGCATTTGACATAAGTGTTTGTTTATGAGGGTCAGCCTGACTTCTTTGTGTTTCAAAACCCCTAGGTGACCATACTCTATCATCCATATATAAATGCTCCAGCAGTCCAGGAAGAAACCCACGCTTTATCAGATGTATTTACAAGACACATCCTACCAGCACGCAGTCCATGGCCACCAGAGAAAAGTACAATACTTTTCTGCATGGGCTGCCAAGCACTGCTTCCTAAAACCAACCTGAACTTGTGTTTGTATTCCAGACTTTTGTTCCCATTGGAGCTACACAGGATCAAAAGCTGTTTACTCCTTTTGGTTTAGTACATTCTACACCAACACGGTTTCAGGAAAAAGTGCCAAAACCGCCGATCAGGGCTTTCATGTTGTTGTTAGAGCCTAAGGAGGGATGACACAGTGTGTTTACAGCTCAAACGGCTCTGAACTCTCCAGTTCTCTGGGCAGGAGAAAGACAGCATGATTGCAGTCCCCTGATTATGCCTTGCATTTTTTAAATGTTCAAATCTTTGCAGCCTTCCCATAGCGTTCAGTGCACTTTGACCATAAACTGCTCCAGAGTGCAGGCAGAAACAGCTGGGAAAATATTAATCCTCTCCTTATATGGCGAGAATAAGAATGAGAAAATACAGGCTGCGTTCAATGTGATAAATGTCTAAGAAATTCCTCTTTGAGTGGATTCCCCGAGTCTACCTTCTACATTCACAGAACACAAATTATTTAGCATATAGAGATAAGAATTCGTGTCAGCTCAAGTTAATTTTGTACCACAATTATCAGAAAACGCTGGTTTGACCTTTAAAAAAAATCTAGTATTTTCAGACTTTCACCCACTCTTAAAACTTAATTTGAAGTGCTGTACAACAGTTCTTGCAAGTTAGACGAGCAGTTTTATTTTGCAGACGAGGAAACAAGATAAAATTGTTAAGTGACTTCCCCAAGTCATTATTAGGTCTAGAGAAGATTTCAGAAGACTCAATCCTGTATCCTGCATTGTCCATTAATCAACATTCCTAACAGAGTACGTAAGTATAAGCTATCACCACAATACATGCTTGCATTGTATCTACTAAATGGCTACGTGAGTTGAATAAATTACATTAAACTAATCTGTCTTACTGGGTTGCTTTCCTGTTGGGTCAGCATTGCAGTCTAGGTCACCACACAGCTGTAGGAGAACTGTCACAAGGAAGTGGGCAAGAACATGTGGCCGGAGGTAGAGCAAGACCAAGTGCAGACAGAGATAAAATTAGACACAGAAAGCAGTGATCTAACAAAGTCCTCTGTTTTAGCCACAGGGCGCTGTATGTTTTTTTTTATTTATGTATAAAACATAGTAATATGGGGCTGAAGAATTCAGAGATGAACTAGTTCGACCTCCTACTCTAAGGCAGGATCAAGTGCATGCAGAGCGTCTATGACTGATGATTATCTAAGCTGTTCTCACCTCTAGTGAGGATAATTCATTGAGTAACCCTCAGGTAGCCACTGATGATGCTTTACCATCCCAGTAATGGAAAGGTTTTATAGTCTTTTAGCCTAAATCACCTCTGTGGCACATTAGATTGATTTCTTTGTTTCCTCTGGAAATTATGGCAAGCCATTGATCACTGTCACTTAAATACTGACATTTTGTGTATCAAAGACTAATGTCCTTTCCAGTTTCCTTTTTTTTTAGCCTAAGCAAGACAGTTCTTTCAGTCTTTGCTCTGTGGTTACCTGTTTGAAATCTATTATCGTTCAGAACTTTCTCTCCTTGAGTTTTGTCTTTCTTGAAGTGAGGGAACTAAACCCAAAGTATCCCACTGACCAGCATCAGTACCAAACAGCAGAAAATTACTTCCATTGTCCAGCTGTTAATTTACCTTTTCTGGATGGAAAACTAAAATATCACTGAAGACATTGAATGAATTCCAACAATACATTTTTATGTATGGATAATAAAATTAAATATGATGCAAGGAAAGTCCCTGCCCTAGAGAGCTAGCTCATCTTTTGAAACAACATAATTACACACACATTCTCTCACACATTATAATCTGGCTAGCTGCCTATACGACCTACAAATTCTACTTCTTCTTATGTACTTTCATTTATTCAACAGCCTTTGTTTTTCAGAAATGCTGTGCACTATGACTTTGGCACTACAGTCACCAGACCGAGCAGGAACATCCTGGACGTGATGACAGTTGCACTTACTGATAACTGTAAGGACTGTGCTTTCAGATGAACATACCCACAGGAAGAGATGCTGGCAAACTACGCTTTCTAGTTCAGACTCCAACTCTCTATGCAGGGCAACTAACCAGTCACCTGAAGGTGCTTTTTTCTGTCTGGCCACTTGAGAGGAGAGAAATCAAAAAGCAGAAAGTAAGGCTCCCAGCAAACAGAAAAAAGGTGGACAAAGTGCAAAAGGATTGCTGCTGTAGTGAGGGAGCATAAGCAGCATTCAGGAGCAGGTCTTTCTGTCTTCATAGGGCTTCCCATATTGTATACTGCCTGTGGTCAGTTGGACTCACATACAAATCTTTTTTTGCCAACTTCATCATCCTGTACAAGCTGCCAGAAGAAGGGGAATCCGGGGAAGCGTTGCTTAAAACTACTGGTTACAGGGACTGATCAGTACTGGCTCTAATGCTCTTTTTTTCCAATTTTTTTTTTTCACAATAGTGGAAAACACCTGCATTTGCACAGCTTAGGGCAGGAAAGACTGGCTGGAAGGCACCAGCTGAAGTTGCCACCATTGATTCCAATATGAAACCAGAGTCTTCAAACCCCTTGGCGAGGCCTGAGAAATCACAAAGGAAATTGAGAAATCAGTTCAAAAAATAGACTACTTTTATACCTTAAGAAACTGCAGATGCATTCATACTGGTTATATGAATATCACAAACTACATGTTTTCTCCTGGCACACTACAGCTACCAACATGTGTTGGGCTTCACTCAAATTGCTTCTCGTAACTTATTGTAACACAAGCAATCTGTAATTGTTATTGCAAATCATGGCAGTAGATTTTCTTTAATTTTAACCAGCAGCTTTGAAGCAGACCAGTAAATAATCACAGTACAGTTCCCACTAAGCTCCCCAAAAAGACTGTAAATACATTTAACAACCTGCAGCATAAACACATCTTCTGCTTTCAACCAGCACTGAATAACTTCCAGAAAGTGTTTTTGTTAGAAGTGTATTTGAAGAGAAGAAAGGCTTTAAAGGACAGCACTAAAATGTCTCTTTTTCCAAGGGATGTATCCACGCTCTCTGCTGCACTGCAATCTCCCAGATGAATCAGAGATCCACAAATGCCAGCAGCTAAACATCTTTCTGAAAATGAATGCAGTAATTGGTCTGATTAATGTAACATTTCATAGAATCCTAGAATCATAGAATGGGTTTTGGACTGGAAGGGACCTTAAAGATCATCCAGTTCCAACTCCCCCATCTTCATGGCCCTATTCTGGACTCACTCAAGCAGGTCCGCCTCCCTCTTGTTAGGAGACCCAGAGTTGGCTGCAGTGCTCCAGGTGGGGTCTCACGAGAGCAGAGTGGAGAGGCAGGACCACCTCCCTTGACCTGCTGGTCACGCTCCTTTTGAGGCAGTCCAGGATACACTTGGCTTTCTGGGCTGCAAGCGTACACTGCCGGCTCATGTTCTCATTGATCAACACCCCCAAGTCCTCCTCGGGGCTGCTATGAATCCATTCTCCATCCAACCTGTACTTGTGTTTGGGCCTGCCCTGACTCATGTGCAGGACCTTGCACTTGGCTTTGTTGAACTTCATAAGGTGAACTTACTTTAACATTATAACTTTAATTTGGGGAATATGCGACAACTGATGGAAGTCATAGAAGCCTGTAATTGTGTCTTGGCTTACGGTATTTCCATAATACACTCCCACTGTTAGTGCTTAAACTAACTCAAATGTCTGAGTGGCAGGAATGTGGCATTTGACAAACTGCTGGCTATGGCACTGAGCTGAGGTTTAACAGGTCCCACTCACCTGGACTCACACCCCAGCTAGCCACCATAACTTTTTGTGCCACCATCCTCCAAAACACATCATTTGAATTGATCCAGTGTAACAATATTCAGTTCTCTTTTTCCTGTGGAGCTGTTTTTCTACACAGATTTTTTTCAGTGATGGCTCAGCAGTTCAGCCATGCCAACAGTCGTACTGCCAAAACCTCAGTGGTGGCAGGCAGATGTACAGAGCCAGAAGGCTCTTGCACTGACTTTGCCGATGAAGCCACTGTCTTACTGAGTTATGCTCTCAGGAGGCAGCAAACTCTAAAACTTCCCTTGAGCTTAGCTAAAAAATGCCACTACAGGAGTATATGTAACATGCTGAGGCAGCTTCCAACTTAAAAACTACACAAATAAAGAGACAGAAAAATAAACCTGAAATATAAAACAAAAAGTGTTCTTGAATGAAACTTGAATTAAAAAGTAAATTATGTTTCTTTATTGCACTCGGGGTACTTCATGCTTCACCAAATTAGCAATTCATCAGTCACGCTACATTTATATAAAATGAAACCAATTGCAGTCTCCCCCATCTTTACTAAGAGTCTTGGTAAACATGTAACCTGGTGCTTGGAAGAAGACTCCTTCAGGGGGCATCTCTTGGAGTGATTTGGTGCAAGCCAAGAGAGATGGCGACACAAGCCCTGCTGCCTCCTTGCCCCTGAGACCAGTCTACCGTAGTCGCTGGTTATATTAAGCCAAAGCTCTTCTATTGCTGATGCTGAATGTCTCATATTCATCCCAAATGTCAACTGCGCTTTAAATGACATTTCCGAAAAAACTGTAACATACAGGGAAGAGCTGGTGTACATCTGCATCACATTTCAGCTCCACCTCCAGCTAGGGTAAGCAGGAGTCACTGTGAAGGTATTAACACTGACTGTATTGCAGCCAGGACCATCCCATCAAGGATACATTAGAAATGACTAACAAAGGAAGCATCACTTTATGTGGCGTGCTCTGTCACTGGGAAAAATCGCTGTTTTGGCTGTGTACAAATATACTTTTCAGTTTAAGGTATGGCACAGAACCGGGTTAAAATCAGAGTGGTTGGATCAGGTAGGGAGATGGTTATTTTTTCCATTTCAACACTTTGAAGCAAATACTGAAGGCTTCTGTGCAGCTGTGCAGCACACGGGTTGCCTGGCCATTTTATGACTTGTCTGCTCTACCTTGACTTGTTTTACAGTTTCTACTATTGAAGAGCACTACTTTCTAGAGAGTTTCTGTTCCTGTTTTAATTGCAGAGCATGTAAAAGGCTCTTAAGTTTTCAATAACAACAATAAATCACTATCAAACCCAGAAAGACGTAAGGATTTGAAATGTGCCTCCTTTAAGAAGTAAATGACTGGGGAGGAACAAAGGATGATCACAAAAAGCTAACAAGGATGTGTTCCAAAGCAGAGAACACTTACCTAGAGCATGAAAAACTACCTCTGCTGGCTTTGAAGAAAATACTTGACCTTGGGCCTCCCCACGAATATCTGTTGAGCTACCGCGGCAGCTTCTGCTTGCCTCTGCGTACATTTACAAGCACCTGCTCAAAGTGGAAAATCCACCAAGCAAGCATGAGACATGCGCTTTGGGGTAGGCAGCAGCTCTGTGAGAAGCTCTAGTGGGGGATGCAGGAGATCCAATGAACTGGGAATAACCTGACTGATCTTCAGTTCTGCGTTCTCTAGGAAAAATATCTTCTGGTAGCACTTCACTGCAACCCTTACGTTCTCCTCGGTTTTCAGAGGAGTTTTCTATAGGCTCAACTACTCTTGACTCAAACCCAGATCTCCTAAAGGACATTATAATGAACTACAGCAGAATACCTTGTACTACTATGAATGTTTAACATAGTCTGAAAAGGCCATAATGTAAAGACTCTTGCAATCATTATTGTTACATTGCAACTAAGAAAAAGTCAAGTGGAAAGGAATTTTCATTTACAGTTTGATAAGAAGAGGGAGTGGGGGAGAAGTGCCTTAAAACAGAGCAGCATGATTTAAATGGCATTTGCCTCATGCCTAACATATTCACAATGCAAGTGAGTAAAAGCACGATGCCAACCTGCCAAGAGTAATGCACTTTGCTGCTCTCAGAAAACCTTCAAGCAAATTCTGTGTACACTGCTGAGGAAGCCCTTTGGTTCTGCTTCAGTGTAAGGTCTTTACACTGCCAAATAGGCCCGAGTAATGCTCCTAAAGCAGTGACAGAAGGCAACCTGACAGAAAAATGAGGTTGTGACAAAATTTCTTAAGTTTACTAGCTGAGGCATTGAGGTTTTGGAAAAGATCTACAAACCCACAGTGCCATTACCTCAGGTACTTATTTGTTAGAGAAGCTGAGGAGCAGAGTCTGGTAAAAGTGCAAGCTGTTTCTCAAAGTAACCTCTTGTCCGTCTGGCACCTTTCAGGGGACAGAACGTCTGGGTCACATAGGAAAGAAGCTGGAGTCCTGTGAACCTTCACAGAGCCATGTTGCAAGCTGTGTGAACTGCTGCTTCAAATGAGGCAGCTAAGGGGAAAGGGGCGGGGGGAAGTGCCACTCTAAATGTCTCACAAAAGCACTTAAAATACTGTAAAGCTTCTAGAATAAGAGACTCGGAGTTGCCAACCCTTGCAATTTTATTGCAAGTCTCATGATGCTCTATTTAAAGTCATAGCTTTTGAAAACAACTGATTACCTTGGAATCAGCTTCCATTAAAGAAGGCCTCCAGCAGAGGTTACACAGAAAAGCCCGAAAAGCCCAAGCAGGCTGCAAAGCCTCAAGTCAATAACATGTTTATTAAAGGCTTATGAACTTTAAGCTAATAATGATTTTGACAGACTGGCTCATGACTTTGTTTAATAGTTGGTGTTACCCATATCAGAGAGGAGAAAAAACCCAACAAACCCTGCTTCAAATCTAAGCCTGAATGAATTCTTCAACAGCATGAGAAAATTGGCAGCAAGAACGGAAAGCTATCTCCACATTGCTTTGCCTTTGAAAGTTTCTCAACAAAACAACAACAAATCTAACCTCACACTTATCTATATCAAAGGGCACTAATCAAAACCAGCAGAACTGCAGAAATATGTTGGGCTTATGGGGCCGTTCTTGGAATGAAAGGTAATAAAATGTGGAAGAAAATCTCTGGGTTGTTGATTCCAGCACGATAGCAGGAGCCTGGCAGTCAGCTGCAAAATAGGTGCAGCAACTTCAGAATCAGGAGATGTGGGAGCTGGTGGAAAACAGATGGATCGTTTGCCTACTATGCCAGGGAAGGTTATTTTTTGCTGCTTCTACTTCCATCCACATGAATTATAATGTACATCCTGTGGATGTTGACTGTAAGGGAAGTGGGGCGAGAGGATCAGGCCATGGCTACAGCAGTGGGAGAGAACTATCAACACTCATCAAAGGAGCTTGGATGGGAAAGAAAACAGTCTTCAAGTAGGCTAGATCAAGATAACAGAGATGTAACGCCATGAATAAACTATCGCTTCCACCTTTGCTACATTTATCTCTTCCTTCATCATTATTTCTCCACTTCCCCCCACCACTCCTTCAGATTTCCATTTCCAAGTAAGACAGAAGATCAAGATGTGTGCTTTAATTTAAAGGGAAAGGCACCAAGAAATACATGAAGAGATTAAAGCA